TGTTTTAATCCATGGCCTCTTTTTGTTTAACTTCAGATAGTTTTTGAATGTGACCTATGTTTGTTTGGTTGAAGCATCTCCCAGCTATGAAGTACAGGGCTGGCTACACTGGACATTGAGTGTGTAGTGGAAAGTGCACACATAGGACCCCATGCCTTGGAAGAGGAACAGAAAGGGTTCTGGGAGATTAGAATGTTTTCCTAAAGTACAAATTTTTCAGATTAGGGTCCTGTGCGGCCAGCCATAGTGTGGAAGGACCAACCTGGGAGAGTATTTGCTCTCTGAGTCATTAGATCTATGTTTACCCAGTAGGGGAACTGCTAGTGTCCTGAAGCCCTGCTGGGTGGTCCTAGCTAATGAGGGACTCTGAGAAGGCTTAGCAATCAGGAGTCCCAATAGGAGGTAGCTTATAGGTTCTTTCCAGGATTTTTTTCTTTTTCTGCTGTAGGGAGCTGTAAGGAAGACCACTAGCCATACCATGGTGAGTGTGCCGGCCACTGTCCCCAGACCAGGAAGAGCAGGTTGGCTGAGCCATCAAAGCTAATTTGTCTGGGATGGACCATGAGCCAGATTGAGGTTCTGTTTGTCCCCGTGGTGACCTGTGTAGTGTCCCTTGGCCTCTGAGCTTTGTTGAGTATGGATTCCCTGGGGAGAGGAAGGCTTTGCGATCTGGGCATGGGAAACCATGAGCTTGTAACATCATTGCCTCCTGCTAGGTAATTGAGTCTTGCCTCATTCTATGTAATTGAGAATTGCTTTGAACACCTAATCCTGCCTCTGCTGCTCAGTGCTGGGTAGACAGTCCCACAACATCTTCCATCTTTGCCTTGACTGATCATTGAGAAGGAAAACTAAACCAGTTAATGAGTGACCTCCAATCTCTGTGGCTTATAGTGAGGACTTATAAATGAAGAGGGACCTGTGTAAGAATTGAGTGCATAGACCAACTTTGAAGCTGGTAGAGTCACAGTGCAGAAAGGGAGAGGCAAGATGGTGGTTGAGAGCTTTCCTACTTCAACATTACTTAAGATTAGCAATGTGGAATTAGGAAATCAGTTTTAGATGCTCCGTAAATGTCCTGATTGGCCATTTCTTGGGCTCCACAGACAAGAGCAATTAAGAATCTGGATAAAAGACTGACTTTACCATGAAACCAAATTGCTACATTTTACAACTATATTTACAGTTGTTCAGTCAAGATAAATCTGGGTCAAATGTGGCCCTGTTTAATAGGACTGTTATTTTTCTGGTATTTGATGTAGTCCCTTAGATAAAAGGCTTGAGAAATTTTTTATGTGCTCTAATACAAATTGCTAGACTCTGGAGCACATGGCCATAAAGCCTGTTTCAAATTTTCAAAGTATTTTTTGAGATTATAACTACATCATATCCACATTCTCTTTCCTGTCTCCAAGCCCCACCATGACCCCTCATCTTTTTTTTAATTCTTGGCCTGTTTTTCTGTAACAACAGCTACACAGTAACAGGACTGTGTGAATGTGACCTGTGTTTGTCTGCAGGACTCCCAGCTAGGAGGCAATGGGTAGGCTGCACTTCACATTGAGTGTGTACAGGAATGTGCACACAAAGAACACTTGGCTTTGGATGAGGAACAGGATGCACTCTAGCAGAGTTGAAGAGTATCTACTAAAATACATTCTTTCTAGACTAGGGTCCTATCTATTGAGTTGAAGGGCAGAGCTGCAAGGATTGTATTGTCTGAGTCATTTGAACTCCGTTCAACCAGCAGGGCACCTGCTAATATTCTGAGGCCCAG